CTGTGAGAAGACCAGTGAGCATTTGAGTAAACCATGGTCGAAGTCTTCTGGGCGATTCAGCACAACTTTTGTGCAGAAAGAAATCACAATGTGAACAATAATAAAATGAAGATAGGAGAGTGTTGATAAATCGGGCAAAGTAAATGAAAGAACACAAGAATTTTAACGAGGTTCGGCAATGTGCTTACGTCCTCGGTGCCTAGGCGGCACTAGAAAATTTTATTCAATTCTCATAGGTTTAGGTTACATCTCTATTTATAATAGAAAACCCTGGTACATAATTACAAAATTAACCCTGTCCTCTTTACCGGTATATTTATGAGTCATACCTTACAAATCTCCACCTTGGCGAATATCATTCCCCTTAGGAAACATTCAATGTGGGTTGGGTTACCTTAGTTCTTTAACAACTTGAAACATTCAACAAGTCCAAGCAATGCTTGAACTTGTCTGTCGTAACTAGCTTGGTGAACATATCAGCGGCATTCTCATCAGTGTATACCTTCTGAAACAAAATCTCTTCAGATGCAACCAACTCTCTGATCTTTTGAAAACGTACATCAATGTGCTTAGTTCTAGCACGATATACCTGATTCTTAGCTAAGTGAATAGCACTTTGATTGTCGTAAAGTAGATGAACTCCATCTTGCTGAACAACCCAACTCCTTCACTAAACCAGTGAGCCATAAAGCTTCTTTTGTAGCTTCAGCCGCTGCCATGTACTCAGCTTCAGTTGTAGATAGTGCCACTACAGATTGAACAGTAGACTTCCAACAAATAGGTCCTCCACCAAGAGTAAAAACATACCCTATCGTCGATCTTCTATTATCCAAGTCACCTGCATAGTCTGAATCCACATATCCTACAACCAAAGGATTATCTCGTTGACTACCAAAAACAATTCCATGTCCCACAGTACCCTTTAAGTATCGAAAGATCCACTTGACTGCTTCCCAATGTTGCTTACCAGGTTTAGACATGTACTTACAAACTTGACTAACAACATGAGCTAAATCAGGACGAGTACATACCATTGCATACATCAAGCAGCCAACAGCATTAGAATACGGAACCTTTTCCATATCTTCAGCTTCCTTATCTGTCTTAGGGCACTGTTCTAATAAGAGCTTAAAGTGGTTCGCCAATGGAATGCTAACTGGTTTTGCGCTGCTCATCGCAAACCTTTCTAGCATTTTTTCAACATAACCCCGTTGAGATAGCCACAGTCTCCTTGAGTCTCTGTCCCTGCAAATTTCCATTCCAAGAATTTTCTTTGCAGCACCTAAATCTTTCATATCAAATTCCTAACTCAATAAAGTTTTCAAACCGATAACATCATCCATGTTCTTCGCAGCAATCAACATATCATCAACATACAGTAATAGAAAAATAAAAGAACCATCATCAAGGATCTTAACATAGACACAACAATCATACTCACATCGGTTGTAGCCAATCTTGATCATATAGGAGTCAAACCGTTTATACCACTGTCTCGGAGACTGTTTCAACCCGTACAAAGATTTCTTCAATCTGCAAACTAAATGCTCGTTTCTAGGTTGAGTGAAACCTTCAGGTTGCCGCATGTAGATCTGTTCCTCTAAATCACCATGCAAAAAAGCAGTTTTAACATCCATCTGCTCTAAATGCAAATCCCAACTGGCCACCAATGCAAGTACTACTCAGATTGAAGTGTGCCTGACCACAGGAGAAAAAATTTCATCATAATCAACTCCTTTCTGCTGTGAAAAACCCTTTGCTACCAAACGAGCCTTGAACTTGAACTTCTCCCCCTCTTTTTCTGTTACTGCTGGTTTCTTCTTATACACCCATTTGCAACCAATCGGCTTTTTACCCTCAGGAAGGCGAACCAACTCCCATGTACGATTGAGATTCAAAGACTCCATCTCCTCAACCATGGCTGCCATCCACTTGTTGTTTTCCTGACTAGTAACAACATCATGAAAATTAACCGGATCATCACTGCTAACAATAAGTGCAAAAGAGACCAAGTCTTCAAAACCCAATCTACTCGGAGGCTTTATATTCGTCTGTCTCACCCTATCTCTGGCGAGACTATAATCCTACAAATCATCTGTAGTGGAACCACCAGAAGTCGGTTGAGAAGTTTCTGGTTTATCAACTGGAAACTGCTCGAAATCCACCACTGTCCTGTCTTTCTTCTGTTGCAACGTGGATTGTTCATCAAAAACAACATCTCTACTGATCACAATTTTCTTCGCAACTGGATCCCAGAACTTGAATCATTTGACACCTTTCTTGTAACCCAGAAAAATGCACTCCTTCGATTTTGCATCAAGTTTGGATCTCTCATCAGCAGGTACATGCACATAAGCAGGATAACCAAAAATCCGTAAGTTTCAAACTAACATCATGACTAGTCCATACCTCTTCTACAAGTTTCCCAGCCAATGATGCCCTTGGCGATCTGTTGATAAGATAACACATGTTAACAGCCTCGGCCCAGAAGTGTTTGGGAAGCCCCGCATTCAACCGCAAACATCTGGCTCTTTCATTCAACGACCTGTTCATCCGTTCCGCACACATTCTGTTGTGTGTCTTGCGCACTGTAAAATGTCTCTTAATCTCGTGCTCCTTACAGAAGTTTAAGAACTGTGAATCTGTGTACTCCGTACCATTGTCAGACCGCAAACACTTGATTTTTCGTCATGTTTGGTTTTCTACCTCAGCTTTCCACAGCTTGAACTTCTCAAAAACTTTAAATTTCTGTTTCAAAAAATACACCCAAACTTTCCGTGAAAAATCATCAATAAAGTAGCATAATACCTAGATCCACCCAAAGACGATGTCGTGGAAGGCCCCTATACATCAGAATGCACATAATCAAGAATCCCTTGAGTTGTGTGCCTCGCAGTCTTGAAACGGACTTTAGTCTGTTTACCAAGAACACAATACTTGCAAAAATCGAGCTTACAGCTTTTGACACCATGCAACAGATTTCTTTTGTGTAATTCTGTCATACCACGTTCACTAAGATGAGCAAGACGCATATGCCACAGTTTTGTAGTATATCACAGGACTCAACAGAACTCCACCTGCAACGGTACTCCCTAACAATCTAAAATTTCTTGTAGTCATCTTTCCTTTCATCACAGTCAAGCACCTTTAACAATCTGAATGGTTTCCCTATCCTCATCAGCCTTAGGGATAAACCATTCTTGTGCAAAGTGCCCAAGAAATCAAATTCTTCTTTCAAATCTGGGATATGTCGAACACCACTCAACGTCCGAACAGAGCCATCATACATCTTAATTCTGACATCACAATACCAACAATATTGCAACAATGATCATCACCCAAATAAACATAACCAGAATTAACCAACCTGTATGTCGAAAACCATTCCCTATTTGGCATGATGTGATAAGAACATCCAGAATCAAGAATCCACGCATCCGTCAATTGAGTCGTTGAAATAAAAAGCATCACCCTCACTGCAATCAGAATTGTCACCTCGACCACGTTCACAGACTTGGATGAAACATCACGCTTCTCATCAGTCTGCTTTTTCACTCGGACAGTCTCGCTTCATATGTCCCGCCTCCTTGCACTTGTAACAGTGAATTGTCTTCTTATCCCTATTTTGGATCTGGAATTCCGCTTGCCAGACTCTGCCTTCTCTGGCTTCCGTCCACGGTCTCGATTACCCTTGACATATAAGCTATCGGCTTGAGAGTTTTCCCCTGTATTCTGCTTCCGCTAGTTGTGAGCCAACAAGGCTGCAGTAATCCCTCAAACGTTGATAGTCTCTTTCCCATATGTAAGAGTAGTCACCATGTGTCGTAAGAGGGAGGCAACGAACACAACAAAATCATCGCTCTGTCTTCATCTCAATTTTTACATCAAGCCGAGCCAATCAGAAACGATTTGATTGAAGACATTCATGTGTTGCGCCAAATCATGATCGTCCTGCATCTTCAGCCCATACAGCCGCTGCTTTAGATACAGTATTGTCGTTAAGGATTTGGACATAAACTGACTTTCCAACTTCCTCCAAATTTTGTCTGGAGACGATAGATGCATGACGTGATACATAACCTCGTCCGCCAAGCATAATCGTATGGTTCCTGTCGCTCGTTGTTGCAATTCTTCCCAATCTTCCTCCTCCATCGACGCCGGCTTTGTAGGTTGCAAAGCCTTCAGGATCCCCTACTGCGCCAACAGATCCTTCACCCTCGTTTGCCATAATCTGAAGTTACCCAGACCATCGAATTTCGCGACTTCGAATTTTGCTCCTGACATCTGATACCAATTGTTGAAAAATCGGGCAAAGTAAACGAAAGAACACAAGAATTTTATTCAATTCTCATAGGTTTAGGTTACATCTCTATTTATAATAGAAAACCCTGGTACATAATTATAAAATTAACCCTGTCCTCTTTACCGGTATATTTATGAGCCATACCTTACAGAGAGTAGCACACACCCATTGTAAAATTTATTACCCTCGACTTCATCTGATAGTATTAAGTTGTGCTCATGACTAATATGCATTATCTCTGTAGCTACTTCATCATCTTCAACTTTGATTTCCTTGATAATACGATTGATGCAACTCATAGGTTGATGAAACTCATAGGTTGATGAAACGGACCATCTTCTATAAATTCATCTGGATTTTTAACCTCAAACACACCATACAATCTCTTGTTCTCAATGGAACACTTCACATGAATAAAAAATCACAACCGGACCGAGAACAATAATAACTTCCATGCTCAATGTTTACCTTTTTGTAACAGATTCTGCAATCCCAAGTTCTAGAATCATCATGGTCGATACAAAGGGAAAAGCAGTGGGAAATGGGATGGGGATGGAGACCAAGTCTAATGTGACGTGGTAATGAAGTGCAATATTTATGAACTTGAATGTTGCAAATAGAACAGATATAGGAAACATTATCTCCCTTATTGCCACATGCATCACAAAGGAAGGGGTTATTTGGTCTTAATAACAAGGTGGGGCGATTATGATGAGATTTATCTTCAATAATGGGTGGTGGCCAAGCACACGTACAGTGGATGTAGAACTTGCAAGGGACACAATGATAATAAAATCCAAACCGTTTATCGGATTGACAAAGGTTGCATTCAGGAAAGTTTTCATCGGAATCATTGGAAACAAGAAAAAGCTGGTGTGTACTGTGGCAAGGGTGATTAATTGCTGAGGGCAGTTCAAGACATTTTTTATGGAAGAACTTTTTACATCCAAAACAAGCATATGAAGCATCATCTTTTAGTTTTGTGTCTCGACAAACATCACACTCAAAAAATCCAAATTTAAATCGATTAATGGAGATCAAAGGATGTGGATGTGCAACATGGAGTGTCTCAATCAGGTTTCCAGCAGTGTCCTATGGAAGCAAAGCGCAATTAAAGTCAAGGTAAAATGCACAAGAAGAACAATGGTAACGAAATCCCTTAACCTGGTAGAACCAAATGTTGCAACTAACTCCTCTTTGCTGATGTTCCGAAGCCGGAAGAAGAAGAAAAAGAGGGTGGTCGGGGTGAGCAGGGTGGTGTATCTCCGAGGGCGCCTCAGCACATTTCTTGTGGAGGTAAAACCGGCACTCCCTGCAGCTGTAGCTCGAACCCGACACCTTTTCCGCACAGCCAATGCAGTGGTAAGTGGTGTCACTTGGACTGCAGGCATCTTCGGCTAATAGCAATGGATGTTCATGGCTCCTGTGGTGAAGTTGCGCCATATTCCTTTCTCTATGCGTTTCTCCCATGATTCAAAATTTTCTCACTTATAGGCTTCAGTCAATGCCTGGCTCCAACATTTGTAATACTACTCCAGCTTGGCACAATAAATATATTAAATATCCCACATGGGAATGGAATCTTAATTGACTTAGTTTCACACAGGAAACTTGAGCATTGAATATAGCATAGAGCCATAGAGATTTGTGAACAATATTTAATTTGTCATTGCAGCTTCTGTGCTTCTTCTTTTCTTTTGATTTGATATTTCTTACCATCATCTTATTAAATTTCGTAACAAGAATAAAAATTAACTGTGTAATAAAAAAAACTTATTTTCTTTACAATTTCACAATTTTTTTTTCAAGAAAAATATTGTTGACAACAAATATATCATAAAACAAAACAATACAAGTTGCAAGATCACTGTTAATACCTCAAAATGTAATACATAGATGGAGAAAACACCAAACCATTTGACTACCATTTTTGGTATCTAAAGAACAATATATTTGCATCCTTCCTCTCACATTCAAGGTTTTATGCAACTCCAAAAAACAATATATTTACATCCTTGCTCTTCACACTCAAGAGCTAGATCTTGGCAGGGTTCTCCACAGTAATTGCACTCTGGGTAGTAATAAATCTTCCTGACAAAAGTGAGAGAATGTGGATGACTTTCGTATGTGTATTTGGTTCCGACCTTAATAAATGGATACTCTCCCACAACACATTCGATATGCATAGTATTATCACAAATTTCACAATGATAAAACCATTTATGTGGATCTCTTCTTTCCTTACAAATGTCACAGTAGTGTCGTAGTGGATAGTCATCACATTCTTTATGAGCAAGTGTCAAAGAATGCTGATCAAACTTATGCTATGCAGTCCGTGGTAAAGTAGCACAATTATTTTCTTTGGCTCTGAGTTAGAGAAAGCTGCTCTCAAACCGTAGTTGATGACATCGTAATCTCACTGACGACCCTTCTTGTTCCATCTGCGGTACAGTTGAAGAGTCTACCCTTCATATCCTAAGGATTGCAAAGAAACTAAGGTGGTGTTTGTTTTTGAAGAGGTAAAAGGTCTGCAGTCTGCGGATCACATCTGCAGGCATTTGCAGCAGAAGATGTGGACCAAAAGTCTGCAGTCTGCAAGAAGAAGACTGCTTGTTTTTTAACGTCTGCATACTGCTAAAATAAACTGAAATATAAATAAACTTATTTTTTAAACTTAAAAGAGTTTTGTAATACTGAGATTTAAATAATTTTAGTTTTACAATACTGAAATTTAAATAATTCATACAACTACAATAATAATTTTTTTAGGAAAACAAACACCACCTTATTAATTCTATTATAAGTCTCACATAATCACATGTATTATTTTATAAGTTTTATAGAATAAAATTTATAAATGATCATTAAATTATATTTTTTTAAACATTAAATTATCTAAAGTTATATAATAATATTAAATTTTGAATTTTATTATAATATGGCACAACAACATTAATTATCATTAAACTATTATTAATCAATGAATCATACACTTCTATTTTTTTAAACATTAATTATCATTAAACTATTATTAAATATGCAATTATGTAATACTTTTAATTTTTTTAAATATATATTCATAATTTATTTTTATAATTATATGATATTTTTAAAAAAAATATTTTTTAATTTATCAAATTATTTTATGATTATTTTTTATTTAATTGTGATTATATTTTAAAATTTTAAAAACATAATTTATAATATTTATATTTAAAATCTTAATTATCAAACAATGAAAACATTTTTAGTAAGCAATGTGTTTAAATACTTACATTTCGTATAAAAAGTTTAAATATAATTTAACAATAACAAATCCAAAAAAATATTATATTTAAACTTAAATCAAAATAATTAAAATAAATATAAAATTTTAATAATATATAAATAATTTATATGATATAATTAAAATATATAATATATATTAAAAAATTAATATTAATTTATTTAAAAAAATTAATATTAAAATAATATCTATAATATAATATTAAAAAATTAATATTTAATTTATTTAAAAAAATTAATATTAAAATTAATATCTATAATATAAAATTAAATATAAAACCTCTTTGAAGAGGTTAGAAGACGTCTGCAAACATCAGGACACGTCTGCACCGTGCAGACATCAGAAGAGCTTTTGTCTTCTAAAAAACAAACGGTCTGCGAAACTCAATGTCTGCACGTGGTCTGCGGGGTGCAGACATAAGAGCTTTGCAAACCTTAAACAGTGAAAATAATAACAACAACAACGAAACCCTATTCTCATATGCAATGGGGTAAGGGGGAGGTAGGGCAGTAGGCTGCCCCCAACGTCGGGTTGAGAGCAGCTTCCGTGGAAGACCTCCGGCAGTCATAAAAATTACAAATAAAGATTAAATGTAATGCATGTAAATAAATAAATAAATAAATACATAGTTGACCCTTTTTATAAGCATTCTTCTTATGCGCGTCTGTAATGGGAAGTAATCCCTGCAAATAAATCCCTACATAAAAATCTTTGCAATATAGACAGAAACGTAAGATCCGACTAAATTTAAAAAGAGGAAACATGAAGAGAATGATACACAGAAGTCAACGATAGCAAGCTACGAAAAGGAGTAAAGTCAAATGTGTTAAAACCTAAACTAAGGCAACACTACTCCGCTACCCTAGATCTAAGCCTTCATAAATTCCAATGACAGAAACGTGAAGAAAGAAGTAGGGAAACTACAAATGCAATAAAAAGAGGACATAGATGTTATAACCTATTACTGTGACCCGCACTACTCGGCTACCCTGGTCTTAAGTCTCCATACTTTTCTATCAGAGGTCATGTCCTTGGTAAGGGCTAAATCCTTCAAATCAGATCTCAAGCAGTCTTCTCACTTCCGCCTTGATCGTCCTCTCCTTCTGGCACCGTCGACTGTAATCAACTCTACCCTCCTGACCGTATCCGACGGTTGTCGCCTAAGGACATGCCCAAACTACCGTAGTCTTCCCTCCCTCATTTTTTCGGATACAGGCACCACCCCCAAGGACGTCTTAATAGCAGAGTTTGGTGTCATGACCCCAGAGTCCTACCACATGCCCATCGAAGCATTCTCATTTCTGCGGCCTCCATCCTCCTTACGTGATCCTTCTTGATTGCCCAACATTCTGATCCATACAACAGTGCTAGTCTTATTGTCATTCTATAAAAAAAAATTCTTAAGTTTTAGAGGCACCTTCTTGTCACACAAAACTCCAGTAGCAGCCCTTCACTTTAGTCATCCCGCCTTTATACGGTGTGTCACGTTATCATCAACACCCCATCTTTATGTATCATAGACCCTAGGTACTTGAAACAATCCTTTGAGGGGAGAACGTGTCCTTTTATGCAAACTTCTACATCTTCATCGTTTTATTTTCCACTGAAACAGTGAAAACAAACACCACCTAAATCCCTCTTGATGTCTACTCTCCAGGCTCCAGCACCATCAGCTCCAATCTTTCTTTTATATACCAATTGATGATTGTATTCTATCGACTATTCAATCCAACTCCCTCTTTGCAGGTACTGAAATTTCTTGGAGCGTCATATTTTCTTCTATATCTTGGCAGGTCTGGAAGCTTCGGAACTTCACAGGTCAACAATCGAATGATATTCCTCTCTGTCAAAGCAAATCTTGGGCTGCTTACTATCATTCTGCTCATCACCATGTTGGTACTGGTTCTTCTTTTCCTTATGAGCAAGAAGAAATTAGATGGCTTCCAGCTCCCTCTATATGGGTCACGCTCAACACCGATGGCTCCATGTCACCATCTTCTTCTATTGCCTCTGCGGGAGGTCTTATCAGGAACCACCAAGGCGACTGGATGGTAGGCTTCAACAAGTATGTTGTAATCTCTCAACCTCTCCATGCTGAACTCTGGGGCATCTTAGAAGGTCTTCGCATTGCTTGGTCTAATGGCCTTAAGTGGCTACAATGTCAAACTGATTGTAGCGGAACTTTCAAACTTGTTACGTCGTCCACAACACACTTGAGTCCTCTTACACTCGTCCAATCAATCTCTAACTTTACCTCCAGGGCTTGGATTGTAAAATTTATATTGGTTGGCCGTGAGGCAAATTTTTCTGTAGATTTTATGGTAACGCTGCCCCCTTCTATTGACGGAATAACTACTGTTTTTTTTCTTGGAACCTCCCCAAGGAGCTGATTATCTGTTGTTTAGGGACTTTCATGGTCCTCCTTATTTTAGACAATAACTCCTTATTTTAGACAATAATCTATGTACTGGCTTCTAGCCCCTCTCATTAAAAAAAAAAAAAGA